TATTCGCAATTATTTTGATGTTTGGTTTTGTTCATAATTTTTAATGTTTTATTTACTGAAAAGTTTATCGCATGTTGTTGCACAGGCTTTGAACTTTGCATTCAAGGACTACTTCAAGAGGCTCTTCAACTTCAAGAAGGACCGTGATGGCTACTGGAAGTGGTTTGCCGGAAACCTTGCTTCCGGTGGTGCGGCTGGTGCTTCATCGCTCCTCTTTGTGTACTCCTTGGATTACGCCAGAACACGTCTTGCTAATGACGCCAAGGCTGCCAAGAAGGGAGGTGAGAGGCAATTCAATGGTTTGGTCGATGTCTACAGAAAGACTCTGAAATCCGACGGTGTTGCTGGTCTTTACCGTGGATTCAACATCTCGTGTGTCGGTATTATTGTGTACCGTGGTCTGTACTTCGGAATGTACGATTCTTTGAAGCCGGTACTCTTGACTGGATCACTTCAGGTTAGTAACATATTTCACAGTTTTTTCAATTTGATTTTGATTACTGTTTGAAATTTCTTTATAACTGAGATTTGATTGTTCGTTTTGGATGATTACAGGACAATTTCTTTGCCAGCTTTGCCCTCGGTTGGCTCATTACCAACGGTGCTGGTCTTGCATCTTACCCAATCGACACTGTGCGTAGAAGAATGATGATGACGTCAGGTGAAGCAGTCAAGTACAAGAGTTCTTTGGATGCATTCTCCCAGATCCTGAAAAACGAGGGGGCGAAATCTCTGTTCAAGGGTGCTGGTGCTAATGTGCTTCGTGCAGTTGCTGGTGCTGGTGTGCTTGCAGGTTACGACAAGCTTCAGGTTATTCTTCTTGGAAAGAAATACGGCTCAGGTGGTGCATAATTAATATAATATATTACCGTTACCACCTTTATTTTAATTTTCAGTAATAGATGGCGATGAAAATCTTTTTGTTGTTTAGTTTGAGGATATTCACTCAAGGCAAAGTTTGCGCACTTTGAATAATTTGAACTTACCCCAAAACATTTGTTCCCCCTTTAATGGGTGGGTGTTTTGTTCCTGGATCTTTTCCCGGAAAGAGATGGCTTATTTTTACCGATTAATTTTTGCGGTTTTATATGTACGTGAGATTTTGTTTTTAAATGCAATGCTTTTAAGGTTTATTTTGTTGTTTTGTTCTTTCTTGGAATTTCTACCTTAAGTATTAATACGTATGTGCTTTGTTCTCTGCGCTGAGGATTTATTTGCTTATGAACTTAATCATTATTTATGAGATGATTATTTCGATTTATCACAAAATTTTAAGCTTATTTTGAACCTAATACTCGCTGAATATTTTATTTATGTATCCTTTGGGATTCTGAATCTGATTCGGGCCTTTTTCTGAATTAAAATTTAGAAAATACGGAATTATATTTGTCACCTTGGGCCTTTATGGACTTTCTGATGACTCCTTTGGATTTTGAATCTGATTTGGGCCTTTTTATCGGGCCTTTTTCTGAATTAAAATTTATAAAATACGGCATTATATTTGTCAACTTGGGCCTTTATGGACTTTCTGATGACTTATATCCATCCTTTGGTATTCGAACCTGATTTGGGCCTTTTTATCGGGCCTTTTTCTGAATTATATTTGTTAACTTGGGCCTTTATGGACTTTTATCGCTTGGATTATAGATGTCCGTTTGAGCTTAGCCCATGAAATACCAAAACTTTCTACACGTCAATTAAATTAATTAAAATGTTACGTTACCACGTCTATTTTTATTTTAAAATAGATTTGTTTTTCCATCATTAATATTTTTTTAAAAATATTTTGTCGAAGAGCTCATATTGATATGGGCTGAGGCTAATATGGTAAATTAATGATGTCAAGAGAATACAAGTGCATGCAACACTTATAAGAGAAGTAAATGATTTACCCTACAAAGAGACCAACAATGAATAGTCCTGGTTCAATTACTCTGCATGGTTTTAATGTACGCGACACATAAATATTAAAGTACAAAATTTATCCCAAAAAAACTGCAGTCAGATGTACGAGCCCCATAAAATGAAGTTCAAAATTAAAGAAATTGTAAATTAAATTAAAATAAAAAAGTTTTACCTCGACTGCAAATCCTGGACATAGCTCTCTTATCACTTCCTCGACTTCTTCCTAGATTTCGACGATGGCTTAGTTTGCTCTGTGTTCGTACTGTGCGAGGTTCCTTTAGAATTACTCGTTTGGTTCGTCGACTTTGATCCAACACTTTGAGCAGCAGCCTCTTTAGCAACAGCACCCTGAGATCCCCTCACTTGAGCCGCCCTCTTATCTTTTCTCTTTGGCCTATAACTCGATCTCTCCCTCTTCGGCAGCCACCTCTCTGGATCCGGTGGTGGACCCGGATTTTCCGGGTCAAACCCTTTCGGGTACTTGGGCTTTCTCTTCCTCTTCTTCTTCGCTTTCTCCTTACTCTTTGGCTCATAAGCTTCCACAGCGGGCCCACTCTCCACCATCTTTGCACCAGAAGTTTTCTCCAAACTCTCCACATCGATTCCCTTCAGACCAGGAAGTGGTTTCAAATGTTTCTCGTACGATTCCGCCTTGTCAACATCTGTGTGAGCGGCAGTGCTAATAAGTCCCACCAAAGCCTCGATGTTTTTCCCATGTCCTTTAATTAGCTCCTCATATAGACGAGCTGCTGCTTCCTTCTTTCCATGCCTTAGCTTAAAAGAAGCAGCCTCTTGCATTATAATATCGAGTTTATTGTCTTCTGTCATTGCATTTGACCACCATTTAATAGCGGAATCGAAAATGGCATCGGCACCTTCGATATCGCCAGCTCGTTCTTTGAGGGAGACTAGGGTGGCGACAGTTGCGGGCTTGTGCTGAATGTCCTGTATTTTTAGAAGAGACTCGGCTGCTATTTGAGGGTGCCCTGCAGAAGCGGCGATCTGTGCCCTTGCGAGAAGGAAAACCTTCGAGTTTTCGGGGGACTTGTTAGCGTACTGCAATAGTATCTCCTCGGCTTTGTTGGCTTTGTTCTCTCTTACATGCACTGCAGCTTGAAGAAGCACTGGGACTATACTGTTCGGAAACATGCCTGGAAGTGCAGATGCGAGTTCTCTAGCCTGCATTGAAATGCAACATTCTTGAAGAAAAATAACACGACAAACAATGTAGCGATTTACGAATCCCGAAAATTCATTACCTGATCCAACTTGTTGGAATGAAGTAACAATAAGAGACGGTTAACATATATTGCTTCTCTTTGTTTTTGGGAGAGCTTTACGTCAAGGTCACGGGCAAGATGGAAGGTCAGAGGAGGACCTTCGCGTTTCTCTATCAGCTTATCAAGTTTCCTCAGGCCATCAGACACATCCTTGGGGCCCTTTAGAGCAATAAGGTTGCTTAATGCCAGTGCAAGTGATGATACATCGGCCAGATTTTTCTTGACAATGCTCGAATAAGTATCAAAAGCTTCTTGAGTGTTTTCTAGGACCTGCGCAAATGGTTGAAAACTGATTGAACCACTGCTTCTGATGTGTTTTGGAAAACCAGATATTCGTATATAATTAGCATCTCACCTGTTGAACATATGCTAGCTGAACAGCTATAGGTGCCAATTCAATTTCTATGTCATCATCCGCTAAATTCTCTTCCATTAATGTTTCCTGACCAATTCTGAAAAAAAAAGGGACATAGTATCAATTTCAAGAATTGTATAGACAATATTCAACGACCCTGCCATTGCATAAGACGAATATTTACATCAAATCAAATGACTAATATACAATGGAGGCAAATCCACTTGATAGCAAATTGAGTTTTACGAGATTGGGAATCACCTTCTAGCTGACAGCAACAGTTGCTCTGCATCTTTATGCTTGTTTCGTTCTATCAGCGAGCAAGCAACATTGTAAGCAAATTCAAAACTGCTTGTTGGTTTGACTCTGAGAGAATCCATTATCCCCTGAACTTCACTAGCCCTCCCAGCAGAAACCAAGGCAGCTACATAATTTATTTCCAGAGTATCTATCTTTGACTTCTGAAGCTTCTGATATATATCCACACATGCATCCATCCTTCCTAAACGAAACAAGATCTGCGACTCTAACAACATAGATACAGTGTTTCCTTCTTGCCCTTTCAAGGACAGCAAAGCTTCATCCAACTTATTTAGCCGATACAAGCAGTATGCCTATCCAGAACAACGAAACTGATGTTAATATAGGGGCATATTGTCTAATTTTGGGTGAATCGACAGATGATCACACAAAGAGCTGAAATCATCTTAGAGAAACTTGACAAAAATTTAACTCATTCAAGACAATAAGAAAAATAGGATTGCAACATTTATCAGGTCTGAGGAATAATAGGATCAAGAAATTGACAGGAAGGAAAATAATAGATGAGTGAAGTCAGCAACGGGCAGAAAATTCCTTGCAAGCGCTACAAATTCAAATTAAAATCTCTAGTAGCAATAGTTGCTCTTAGAAAGTACAACGTCAAGGAAATACGTTAGCCAAGGGCTACATAAGCTTCGAAAACGGCTTTCATAATTGCACGATGGGAGATTGTATTATCCTTTTACCCCGACTGAGCCAAAATTTCTTCAGACACCATCAATTTTCCATAACATATCAGCAAATTATGTGTGTGTGTGTGCGTGTGTGTATATATATAAATCAGCAAATTATACAAATCATTGGTCCGTATCGTTTTCAAAACTGTTATCGTAATTCTCACTGAACTTTCGAGGCATAGTTTTTTATCTCTAGCCTCAAGAATAGCGAGTTTTGGAGTTAACTAAGTTGCAATTTCTAAATGGACTACTCACACAAAAAACAATCCATCATGGTCAATGGTTACTTTTATCAAACAAATAAACATCAGTGCAGGAAAAGTCAGGACATCAACCATGCACATAGAATTCATCGAATGTAAACCCTATCTCAGGTTACCAGTTAACGAAACATAATCTCATCGCCAAAAAAAAAAAAAAAAAAACAATTTACAAGATGATAAAGCTAATAAAAGCAACAGGTGTACTCCAATTATATTGCAAAATTCACACCTCATCAGAAAACCTGCATAAATTAATTGATCTAATATACCAAAAGTTGTTTCCCCAAAAAAAGTTATATGTATCGAAAGTTACCTTGAAGAAACTGAAATCAACAGAATATTTCCCGGGAAACAATTCAATCGCACACAGAGCATCATCTATGCTGTCGTTCTTAATCAGAGCCACAACCTTACATCTAATCGCGTCCTCATCTCCCGGCAAAATCGAAAGCACTATAAAAAAAACCAAAACAATAGATAAATCAAAAAAATCCGAAACACGCAGTCAATTTTCTAGCTACAGCATTCGCGAGGAGCAATCGAAAAATAACGAGTTGAAATTAATTCTGCATACCTTGATCTGAGACTTTAACAGCTAGGTCGAATTCGGATCGCTGAATGTGGCGATTGAGGGATGTGAAAAGGTCTTCGACAGCCACCGCGGGCGCCGCCGCCGCCGCCGCGGCCGGCTTCGCTTTATCTTTCGCCTTCGGAGCCATATTTTTTTTTTTAGCTTTGATTTCTGTAGTTTCTCTGTGTTCAGCGGGTTTTCTCGGAGTCTGTAACCTCAACCCGATTTCAATTGGGCCCGGCCCATATTTGTCTAATGAAAAGTTGTTACCTCTTTAAGAAGAGCCCAAGCCCAGCCCTCCTCAAAATAATCACTAAACGAATCAATTTTTATTAAATTTTTAAAACAAAATGCTCTATATTAGATTGAATATGTTTCGTTACGGGTCAAAATCAGAAGGATTGGATCGAAACTAGCACTTCGAATATTATTATTTTTTGCGAAACTTAGAAAAAGTAGTTTCATTTCGGTAAATAAAAATTGAAAAATTAGATATTGGAATTTTGAATGAAAAAACTTGTTTCAAAATCCGAAATTAGTGGGATTCGGAATTTTTAAAGCTTTTGTGGTATAATTGAGAAAAATACCTTGAAGTTTAGGAAATTCTATTATAATGTGTTTTATAGTACACGTGACGGTTAAAAGAAAACAAAATCAAAATAAAATACTTTGAGATTGGAAGACATATTATTTTAGATTATAATTTCAGTAATATTTGAAATGGTTCGGTATGATGTGTGTGTTGATATGTTGTGTGTGTAAAAGAAAAAAAGTATGTTTGATTTATGTTTCAATGGCTGAGTAATGCGTTAATGTGTGCGAAAGAAAATCTGTTTTATTTACTATAAAAAATTAAATAATAATAATTTTAAAATTAAAAATGAAAAAACTGGTTGAATTCTTGCTGAACTGATCCAACCGTGATCCAGTAAATTGTTCAAATCGATGTCTGGTCCGATTTTCAAAAGATTTGTTTGGACAATAATATGCACATAGTAAACGTGTGTGCGTTCATACAAGTAGCATTAATATATCTATTATATTAAGGGAAAATTACAATTTTCGTCTCTCAAGGTTGCACCAATTTTACATTTGATCCCTCATGTCCACAAAAAATACATTTGGTCCCTAATGTTTCCGAAATTTAACATTTTTAATCCTTTCTGTCAATTTTCCCTTAATACTAACGGAATCATGTGTGTGCCCGTCACTGCTTTAACTGGTGGACTAACGGCAAATTAACGGGAATGACCAAAAGTGCTAAATTATTCAAACATGAGGGACCAAATATGAATTTGGTGCAAACTTGAGGGGTGAAAACTGTAATTTTCCCATTATATTTCTATATATGCTTTTATCGACTCTGTCATGTGTACCGACAAGAGAATGTCGCATGAATCCTTTCATTGCACGCCAGGTTTTGTTCTCTTTCTTTAACATGTAAAAACAAATGCTACAAACACTTAATTATAACTACAACTATTCAAAAATAAAATAAAATAAAAATTATTTAAGGTGGCACTATGATTGCATATAAGATTAATAAAATATATAATAAGAAGAAATTATAGAAGAGGGAAGTTAGGCGAACATCTAAGACAATGTTTAGCTATCATAATTACCAAATTCTCAACCAAATATGGCCAACTTCTTTTTGGGTTCTAATGTTTGATAGATTTGGTTATCTTCCCTTTTCGGAGCCATATATCAATAATCATATACGACCCGACCCACCTGCAACGAAAATAATCGTGTATAAAGGCATAATGGTCTTTTTGGAGCGTTCGAAATCAACTCTATTTGAAGTGAAACATCACAATGACCATTTTGGTAATGTGATGTTGCATTTCAAATGTTAGTTTTTTGTTGTTATAGAAAAAGAAAAATAATTAGACAATTTATATTCTTTTGCAGGAAACTCAAGTTGTAATTACGTAAATGAAGGTCTTCGTAAAATACCGAGTTCATTTAGAATCTTGGTGTTAACTTGTTTTTTTTCTTTTATAAATTTTCATATTTTTTTTTTAGTTTAATTAAAATTTCCAATTTGGCCATGGTGCCAAATAGTTATGTAACAATTAGGAATTAACAACTTTCACTATTAGTGCATTTTTGTTTTGTTTTCTTTGTCCTCGCTGTCCATTTCAAATTCAAATATAACTACATTCAAATCATATTAGTTCATACGTAATTGGCTTTAAGGAAATTAATAATTACAAGCTAATTAGTTGATAAAACTAATGACTCTCAAAGGAAAGTTTGAATAATTGAGTTTGTAGATTAATGGAGATTCCATTAGCAACTTAAATTAACTATTTATCAGAAAACGATGGAACTTAATTGCAAGTTGAACCTAATTGTGATCGAACGTTGAATGTTTTGAGAAAACAAATGAATCGTTTTTTAGATTGTGGTTTGTGATCACTAGAGTTGGTAGCTCGGGAGTCCTTCGAGTTAGAGAGCTGACAACTAAAAATGAGGAGAAGTACTGCAAGTGAGCTTCAATGACCGACCAAAGAATATGTACTCTGTCTTACCTAGAAAACACCAACACATTAAATGACAAACGAGTAATTTTCGCAGACAATCCACTAAGTTATCGTACGTCGATAGCAAACTCAATGCTAAAAAAAGTTATACAGACATGAGATGGTGCATTTTGAAGAGGTGGTCAAGCCGACATTATATTTTATTATCGAAGGTTCATGATAGTCTTTTATCATTTAACCGACGTGGAATTTGTAGAATTTCTTTCGTATGAGATTCGAATATTTGTCAATTGAACGAGAGCCCAACTTTGAGCCTTTTAACATCTCACAAATAAATTCCCAACTCACATAAATCTTTTTGGGCTTTGATAGGTTTGCTGAGATATTGAGCCCATGACATATTATAAGGGAAAAGGGTCAATTTATTTCTTTTAATTGATATATGTTATGGTAAAATAAAGAAAATGCTCTTTACGGGTTAATAACTGCTATTTACCGTTCAAAGTAAAAAACAGTTTATCTCTCTAAAACCCCTAAAATTCTAAATTCTCTCCAATTACCCCATTCCAAAATATTCAGAAATTTTTTTTTTTCGAAAAATTTCGAAATCAACCAAATTTCGAGCTTGGGCTTCGATTTTTTCAGGTTATTTCAACACCTACATGTGTTATATGCAATGGTAACTCGATTTGCAACCAATTTCATTTTATCAGTTCGGCCGGGTAGCGCCCAAACCGGGCGTTCGGTTTATTTTTTATTTTTATTTTTTTTTTTTCTGATTTAAAATAAATATTTTTTATTCTGAATTAAAATAAGTTAGTTTAATATAATTTAGTTAATTCAAAGAAAATTATAATAATTTTATGTTTACAGGATGTCTAATTGGGCGAAAAAATTCGGACTGGGAAAAGGGAAAGGACTCCTGATTCGTCCTCCTGCAGATCCGGTGGAGGAGAATACTGCGGAACGGGAGGGAAGGACACATAATAGAAATGTTACCGGTTCTAAACGTCGTGGGGAACGCACTGGTGCTTTTGTACCCCCACGTACGATGATTCAGGAGGAGACAGAGACAGAGGCCGAGCAGGAGATGGATGCACCCATGGATGCATATATGCAGCCGCAGGAGTACGAGTACGATCCACAACTACGCTTTCAGCAGAAGTATCAGTTTCCGGTGCCGGATTTTCCATCCGATGACGATTACGAGGATGTTCGGACTCCGACTCCGCCTCCTGTCCCGATGGGTGGTACTTTCGATGGTTCTAATCCTGTCTCGAGGTCCCGCACCGCTCCGAGAAAAAAACTTCCTTCTCGACCTTGGATGTTGACCGGTGAGACACCCGGTGGACCTAAATACGCTCACTTGATTCCAAGTTTTGGAGCACACATTGCCTACGACATTTGGGAGGGAAAGGTAATACTTATTAATATTAATAAATTTTGTTTATAATATTTACACTTGCTTGTGGTATACTTATATATGAATATATCTTGAACAGGGTCGACATATGGTTAAATTACGGTCGCACGCGAAGTGTACTTGGCCGGGCCCCGACGACGATGATTGTGTCTCACTACTGGAGAATACCGGCTTGTATCACTTGCGTGATTGTTCGCTGCCTCAGCACAATAACCCACTCATAGAGGCTTTTATTGAGAGGTGGCAGCCGGACACCAACAGTTTTCACATGCCATTCGCTGAGATGACAATTACCCTGCACGACGTGCATTACATCATGGGTTTGCGAGTTAGTGGAACTCGCCCTAACGTTTGGATGGATAAGGCCGACGCGATCCAGCTTGGTGCGAGAGCTTTCGGGGTCGCACCCGCACTTATGGAGCAGTGGTGGTATGGTGGCGGACCCCGGTTAGATGATTTGGATGTGAAGTATGGCGACAATTCTACATTTCCTTCCGCGTATCGGGTACGAGCATATATTGCATACTTGCTTGGAAACTTGTTGTTCGTGGATAAGAGTGGATCGAAGGTTAGAGCAGATTTTTTCCCACTGTTAGAGGAAATCAATCTCATTTGCGAGTATTCTTGGGGTTCGGCTACATTGGCCTA